TGGCCATGGTTGCCCAGGAACACTTGTCCTGTCCACCAAGGGCCCAAGGGAGCTTGTAAGCTTGTCCACAAAAGGTGTTTTGTAAATTCCCTTTGAGGATCAAGATTGAGAGATTGGAGACAGAGAGTGGTTTTCTTGTGATAAATGAGCCCCCACAGGTAATTGGGTGTTCTTGTCTTTAATAGATGTGCATTCATTCTGGTGTGTAGTTGTTGTTTGGTCTCTCCTATGTATTTTCCATCAGGGCATTTGGTGCACTGGATGAGATATATAACGTTTCTGGAGGTACAGCCGTAAGATCCAGGAATAGTTCTGTTGTGGGGTGTAGTAATTGTGGGGGTACTGGAGATATGTTGGCAGGTTTCGTATTTCTTGTCATGGCATGGTCTAGATCCATTGGTGTGTTTTGGGTTGTAGAAAGTTTGCTTCTGGTGATGAGGTTAGCGAGGTTTGGTGCTTGTTTGAATTTACAAAACACTTTTCACAGACAAGCCTATGAACTTCACTTCAACAAACTCCTTGATACAAAAACTCATGGACTCAGTATATAAGTTGGATTTATGACACACTATGACCAACCTGACATCTGACTCCCCAGGTACCTCTCCACTTTTACTTGCTACATCCCTCTCCCCACCCCCGCTTCTCTGAGCCTGTCTCTCATCCCCTGACACCTCAATTTACATCTTCACTGACTGGCTTTCTTGCCTGCATACCAGCCTCTAGCTTCTTTACTATTCATTCCATCCAGGAAGGGCACACATCAACTGCAGATGCTTCTTCAGCCTGACAAAGGGTTTTTAAACCCGAAAGCTTACCAAGATATATTTCTTCAATTATTCAGTTGGTCTAATAAAAGATATCAGATTGACCCAAAGAACCTTGTCTGCCTATGTCCTTAGACCAACATGGCTACAACCAGAAACCCAGTTAACACACGTGACACGAGTTTTGCTTTTAGAACCTTGAGGTGCAATTTCACAGAAGTCCCTGCACCTATCTCCTTGAAACCTGACAGGCTTCATGCCCTCAGAAGGGGCTACCTTCCCTGCTGTTTTCGTCCCACCCTGCCTTAACACACACACACGACACAAGTTTTGCTTTCATAGATTTCATAGACATTCAGGCTGGAAGGGACCCTGAAGGATCATCGAATCCAGCCCCCTACCCCAGAGGCAGGAAGTCAGCAGGGATCCCAGCAAGATAAACATCCAAATGTGTCTTGACGGCATTCAAAGTGGGTGCTTGAACCACCTCTGGCGGCAGTCTATTTCAAACTTTGGGGGCTCGGACAGTAAAAAAGTTCTTCCTTATGTCCAGCCTGAATTGGTGACGGTGGAGTTTATGACCGTTCAATCTTGTCATCGCTTGGGGCACTCTGGTGAACAGATGTTCCCCCAGATCCTGGTGAACACCCTTGACAAACTTGTAGGTGGCCACCAGATTGCCCTGAGCCTGCACTTTTCCAGGCTGACAAGTCCCAGGGCTCTCAGCCTCTCATCATAAGGTCTGTTTTCCTGACCTCTGATCATGTGCGTGGCTCTCCTCTGCACTCTCTCAAGCTTCTCCAACATCCTTTTTGAATTGTGGAGCCCAAAACTGGATGCACTACTCCAGCTGTGGCCTCACCCTGTCAATAGTTTGAGGTGCAATTTCACAGAAACCCCTACACCTATCTTCTTGAAACTTGGGAGGCTTCATGCCCTCAGAATGGGCTACCATCCCTGCTGTTTTCATCCAATTCCGCAAAAAAATGACAAAGTTATAGGTATTTTAGCAATTCCCCATTATAGTCTATGGCCGAATCACACTATATCAGCACCGAATCTTTCAAACACGATTTGGCCGAAACAATTCGGGACAGTGATCCAAATCACCAAATCAAATCACTGTCCCCTAAATCAGCTGGATCTGAATCTGGATCGAATACTGGCTGATTCACACAGGCCTGGTAGACATGTAACAGGCAACAAAATACTCAGATAGTTATGGGGATCAGTTCCAGGAATTCGTATAACAGAGGTAGAAAATTCCATAGATATGCATGTGTGAGTTCACTCGGAATGGAGTTCCACTGTTGCCCTCAAATGGTTTATATCACTATCCACACTCTTCCAGATGTGCTGGCTTTGCATAGCTGCTGACCGTGCATGGTACCAGGGTCAATCCACAAGATGAACCATTCAAGAGCCTTGCAACTGTCTTTAGATGATCACTTAAAAGTATTCCGTATTGCTCTTATGAATACAATGAATAGCTTTGCACAAGTGGCAGTGTCTTATGAACAGGGTTTTCTGTTTCCCACGGAAAGATGGAAAAAAACATGGATTTTCCCTTTTAACTGAAAGACGTGGATTTTCCACTTTTGCAGAGCTCTCTGCAAGCTAGCAGAGTTCCAACCTGCAGGGGGCTGAGGGGAGCAGAAGAAGGGAGGTCAGACAGGGGGTTCTATGTGCATGTATATGCACATGGCTGCCAGGCAGCCTAAAGAGCAGCTCCTGCAGGTAAGTCTGGCAGGGAAGATTAAGGCCACCATAGGGAGGGAGGCAGTGAGTTGGGCAGGGCTGGGGCTGGAGCTGATGCCTAGCTGGGCAGTGTGTGAAGCCTGGGCCCCAGGGCCATGAGCAGCTACAGGGCCCTGGCAGGGAGCAGGACAGAGCAACAAGTGGCACACCGGGGGTGGGGGGGGGACAATGGACGGGACGACACACGGGGCAGGGGTGGGCTACCTGCTGCGGGCTTGGGCTCCCCACCCTGCTGCTCTCCCCCTGGGGCCTCCACAGCCCAGCAAATGGGGCCCAAGGTAACAGGGCACAGCAGTGCTGGGCAGGGAAGCTCCTTGCCACTGCAAGCTCCATGCTGCCCTGGCAAGGAGCTCCCTGCCCACCTGGCAGCAGCAAGGGCAGCAGTGCTGAGTTGTGCCCCTTGCTGCTGCCAGACAAGCAAGGGGCGCTTCACCAGGGCAACACGGGACTTGCAATGGTGGCAACAAACTTCCCTGCCCAGTCCCACTCTATCCTGCCACGCCAGGACTTGCCCGCCGGGCTGCAGAGGCCCCAGGGGGAGGGAAACAAGGCAGGGAGCCCAAGGCTGCAGCAGGCAGCCTGCACCCGCCCCATCCCCCCATGGGCTCTAGTCTAGCCGTGCTGCCTACAGGGGAGGGGGAGCCGGGCTCTATGCTCTGCTCTGCTGCTGAAGCCACTGCCTCCCATGGGTTACAGCTGGGGCTCAGGTGCTGTTGCAGGGTGCAGGGAGCTGCAGACCCTGATCCCTAGCAGCTGGACCCCCCTACTCCAGCAGGACAGGGAGGGTTGGGGGGCTGTGGGTGGGGAGTGAGGGGCACCAGCAAGGCCAGGAAGCTGTGGGTGGGGAGTGAGAAGCACCAGCAGAGGTGGGAGCTGTGGGTGGGGAGTGAGGAGCCTGAGCCTGTTTCCTGGTGAGCTAAGGGGCAGGGAGAGCTCTGATTTTCCATGATAAAAAAAAACCAAACTCAAATAACAAAATGTATTAGGTACTTAGAATTTATTTTATTGTAGTTATTGAGGCACCATAGTTATTGAGGCTTCTAAATTGCTTTAAAATGATAAATATATCAATAAAACATTATGCTCAATTGATACCTATATATATATATATATAGTGGTGTTTCATTTTAATCATGGATTTGGGGGTTTTAATCAGATAATTTGCTATTTTTTTAAATGAGAGAATTTGTGATGTTTAAACAGAGAAAACAAGGATCCCTGCTTATGAAGCATTATTTTCATCTGTATGAACACCAGCTCTAAGCCTCGGAAAAACAATAAAGAGCACCTGATCTTGCTTATATCAGTATGATATGAAAATCAGAGGAAAATCCTAAGTGAGAGCAATATCATCTAAGCTATAGCTTTTCTCTGCAGCATTTTACCACTGGTAATTGCAAATTTTCTCTTGTTTTTCCTCCCCAAATGCATCCCTTCCGATTTGTCAGAGAAAAAAAAAGTACAAGAGATTATCTTATTCCTTGTAGTCAGATTCACATTCTGTTAGTGCCAAGCTGACACATGGAACATCTTCACTCCTCTGTGAATGCTTAAAATGATACTAACATGTATGACAAGATGAGGCTGGTTTTAGTTTTTGAAAATGTTTAAAAATCTAAAGCTAAAGTATGTATTGCTTACTGTCTTTTATCCTGAAGATTGGCATTTACATCTTAACAACAATGACCCTATTCATTCTGTTGAAAATGAGCTACAACATACTAACAAATGAACAAACAAACAGAAAACCAAAAGGAAGCCTTAGCAAAAGCAATACTCATTTTGTACCAATTTACAATATTTTAAAGCATCTGTTGTGGGTAAAATCCAAGAGACTGCTAGAGTTTGTGAGTTTTGTATGCACAAAAAATCTGAACCAGTAAGTTCAAACCCTTTGGCAAACTCCCTTCAAGCACATGAAGAGTGCACTTATTGTAATCTGCTGGGCGAGGCAGATATCATTAGCTTTCACAAAATTTGACAGATTTGGTATGGTGTTTTGCATAGAAAAAGCTGGTTTTATAAATTCCCCAAGAACTGTACCTAGAAGTTTTAGTGTCAGAGTCTATGTCTGGTATATAATACAACTGCTTGTGCTTGGGTATTATAGACAGTTCCAAGGAATACTGTCCTTATTGTCTCAACTACTCCAGTGAATGGGGCAATCCTGTGAGATGCAAAGCAGAGGCCTGAATCCGTCAGTAGATCAGACTTCCAACAGATCAGGGTAACAGAACTCCCCGACAACTCCCTGACAAGTCTCTATTTGTAAAAAGAGACAGAAGAGAGTCCAAAAGAAATGCTTATTGCTAACAGCTATCCACACTCCCTCTAGTTCCAGGTAGCGTAGGAGGCCAGGAATTAGCCTTCTGCTGGTATCAAGTCATAGGTGCTAGACTAACAGCAATGTTTTATAAAATACTTTTGTTTTTTCATCATTAATGAAACTGTTTGGAGTAAGTCACAATTACTTACCTTGTAGAGTTCCACACGGTGATCCCCTCCTCTGTGAAAGGAAGTTAAGGAGAACAGGGGAGGGAAAAACCCACATTAGTAATTAAGCTCCCACAAACATCTATTTTCAGACCTGTATTTTTTTCTCCAGGTCTCGGAGAGAATACAGACTAAGGTTAATACTCTAGAAATACAAAATACCTTAAGTCCTTGGCTGCTTGCCACAAGCAGACAGCCATCTGTTAATTGAACAAGTATTCACTCCATACCCGGCCTTCCATCCCTCTCCTCACAAACCAGATACACATATTCACATCTAGAAAATGGAGTTTTTGCCAGTATTAACAACTCTCTAAGAATACAAAAGACAAGGGGGACAAGCCAAATTCATCAGAAGTAATTTTCAAAATAGCCTAAGTCTTCCTTAGGCTATATCAGCAACATGATTTACTAATACAGACAAGAACTTTTGGAGGAGTACTACAAACAGAACAGGTTCAGATGCTGCACTGGTATGGAAAAAAAGGCTAAAGTAAACAGCTTTGCCTTAGGCACTGATCATTGTGGGGCCCCAACTGATGTTTTTTTAATCTCTTTTTAGGAACGAACAAACCTGAGCTGCAGTGAGTCCTATCAGTAATGGCAGTATCACAATGTATAGTTTATAGACTGAAAATACCAAGGGTTTTGATTACCTTAAAAAAAAAAAAAAAAGTTCTCAAATCAGATTATAAGGTCATAGAAAAGTAGGACTGGAAGCAACCTCATAAGGTCACCTAGTCCAGCATCCTACTCAAGGCAGGATCATCCCTGACTAAATGATCCCAAAGCAAGACAATCATCCATTGCCCACAATGTTTAAATCAAAAACAAGCTTTGTTTTGTAAAAACAGCAGCAATGCTAAACTAGTTTTGCATTATTTTATCCAGTTATTCAACCCACTGTAAACAAGACAGTGTATATAACCTAACAGTTGCTATCCCTGTTTGTAACTGACGCCTTTTCCTTTATTCCTCACCTGGTTCCTGCATTTCCATGCAAGTAAAGGATTATAGGATGGTTGGAACCCAAAACATCCTCATACCATGGCTGGTCCTTTCCTTGAGCATCCTTCCACAGCCCTGCAGGGACTGTGTGCCTAGGAACAAAGAACAGAAAATTAGGAGCGTCTCAATATTACTCAAATTTTTTTTCTATATATTGAGGATGTAGCATTAGCTCAAGAGGACTGAAATGCAGCTGAAATGAGAGCAACAATGCGACAAGAAAGCAAGTTTCAGACATCAACCAATCCCTCAACATAGTATCGCATGGCATAAATCTTTTATTCACAGGTTTGTGTGACAGGCCCTAGCACCAAATGGGACACAAATATAAAATATTCACTACTGCACTGCAATACTCCCCAGAGACTAACTATTTAACTTTTGTTTAAAGTACAAAATGTTTATCAATACAGGACAGTCCAGAAACTAGGGACTAGCCACAGCCTGTGATCTTCTGATCAATGCCCTAGTGCAGGGGTGGGCGATTATTTTGGCTGGTAGGCCACTTAATGAGTTTTGGTAAACTGTGGAGGGCCGCACACATAAAATCTTTCGAAAGATAGATATCATTTTAACAAATTATAAGTAAAAAGTAAATCACATACTAAAAATCAAACATCTACTATATTTTAATTTTAATTTCAAAAAACATTTGTCCTGATTCATGTTTTTGGGGGTACTATATATAGAGGCAATTGCATAATAGCTCAAAATAAAGTCTTAATCTTGTACATTGTGTGGGGAGCTGGGGTATATGGGGGTGGGGTTTGTGTGGAGGGGTGGAGTGGGTGTGCATACATGTGTGGGCACATGCCCACACGTTAGATCCTGGGAGTCAGTTGGGAGTGAGAGGAGGGGGGAGCAGGAGGTGTGTGTAGCAGAGCTCACCCAGGCCGTGGTGCAGGTGCAGTCCGCTCCCTTGTATCTGACCTGTGGCTATTTCTGCAGCACTCTGCATGGGGCTGAGCCCAGCCTGCTCCCACCCGGGGCAGCTCATGCTGCACTTCCTCCCACACACACCAATGGCCCCAGCCAGCGCGTACAACTTCATAGCGGGACTGCTCCCTGTGCAGCTGCAGCTGCCTGGGTACTGCTCAGCTCCCCACACCTCCAGTGGCTCCTCCTCCTGCCCCTGCTGCATCTCTGGGCAGCAGATAGCATGAGGAAGCAGTGGTAGCAGCCATGGGGACTTGCACTGGGCACCACATGCCCAGCCAGATGGGGGGAAAGCTATAGCTGGGTACAAGCTCCTGCCCCAGTGTGTGGGGTTCCAGCTCCAGCTTTCAAGCGGGTTGAAGGCAGTTGGAAGCCACTGGAGGTGGCAGGAGCTTAGCAGTAAATGAGTGGCTGCAACCACACTGGGAACAGCCCTACCAAGAAGCTGTATGCACTAGCTGGGGCTGGGGCTGTTTACAACGGTGGACAGGAGTGCGGCATAGGCTGCCCCAGGCAGGAGCAGGCAGGGCTCGGCTCCATGCAGAGTCTGGTGGGGGCAGCCACAGGCCAGATGCAATCATCTGGCACACCAGATCCAGCCCACGGGCCATATTTTGCCTACCCCTGCCCTAGTAGGACTACATGGAAATCTCATGTTGTAAGTATACCCCAGAACTACTTCAGAGCAGCTGAAATACAGAGACTCAACCTACAGTAACTTTGAAGAGAGGGCTACTGTCCGATTGTGGTATTTCCCTGGAAGCCTAAATGCCTCCTAAAACGCATGACCCAGAAAAGTCAGATGGGAATCCCTCACCATGCAGGAATCCACATCTACCAAATGGATGGAGGAAGCCGATACTCGCACCTCCCAGTTGAGGATTTGTGCAAGTGTTATTTTCTCTTGATCAGAGCTGTCCAGCTGGCAGCCCACAGGCTGCATGCTGCCTAGAAAGGGTTCAGTTGCAAGCCCCAGACTCCTGCTTGGCCATTGCTCCCTCCATAGCTCTAGCTGCTACAGCAGCTGAGGGCCCCCCAGAAATACTCCTTTTGGGAGTGAGAGGTTGCTATCTTAGAACCAGAAAAAAAACCCAACAAATCATACACTAGAAATCAAACACCTGCTAGAACATATTTTAATTTTATTACAAAAAATATTTGTCATGATTTGTGTTTGTGTGATGTATATAGAAAGGACTTCATATTAACTCAACAATAGTCTTACTCTTTTATATTGCGTGTGTGAGGAGTGGGGGAGGTATGGTGGGGTGTGTGGGGGGTACGGCTGTGTGTGGGGGCCACAGGGTATGTTGGGGTATGTATATGTGGGGGCAGGGTCTGGGTGTGAGGTTTGTGGGGTACAGGGACCCCACACACACTGCCGCCAAGGCAGCTCCACTGCTGGCAGCAGCAGCAGACTGGGGGGGCTCAGGGAGTTCGTGCCTGGCGCAGGCACTGATGCCTGGTAGGATGGCTCCAGCCAGTGCTGCATGTGGGGCAAGAGGTGCAGATTGCCCGGTTGCCTCTGTCGCAGGGGCTCTGCATGCACCTGCAGCTCGCACCCTCACACGGGGAAGCCCCACTAGACCCTGCGGGGAAGCGGGAGATGGGCTCCTCCCACTCCCAGCCCACGGGCCTGTGCGGCAGGGGCAAGAAGGCAGCAGCTTCAGCAGGGGCTTCATCCAGCACGCCCTGCGATAGAAGCAGCAGCAGGATCCTGCTCGGAACTGCAGGGCTGGGCCGGCTCTGCTCCTGCTGTGTTCTGCATCCTGGTATTGTAGTTGGGAACTGCATGGTGTGGCATGGTATGGAGCTGGCCTGGCCGGGCACCTCCCAGCAGTGTGCGGTTCCCGGCTGCAACACCAGGACACAGAATGCAGCATGAGCCAGCCCAGCCCCACGGTTCCCACTTGGTGGCTCCTGCCACCAGCCCTGACCTTCAGGGCCCCGCTCCCACTTCTCCCCACCCCCGAACCTGCCACTGCCCCCGCCGCCCCTCCCCCGCCCCCTCCCCCTGCCACTTCCCTTCCTTCCCTGCCCACCACCACCACCACCCTAGCTGCAGAGCTGGGACTACATGGTTGGCAGCTGGCTCAGGATGGCTCCTGCTGCACTGGCAATCCTCCTCCCCACCTGTTCTTACCCAAGTTCCCTTCTCGGGTTGGGGGAGGCGGGGACGGGACCCTCCACTAGGACAGAAGCTTCTGTCTGGCCCTGGGGCTGGGGGGTGGGGCTGGCGGGCCTTGCTGCTGCTGCCACTGGGTCCTGCTGCTGCCTCCTCCTGGATCCTGTTGCTGCAGGCTCCTGTCGTCTTTAACAAGCAGCCAGGGGCAGATAAATTTTTTAATTTTTAGGTGTCCTGCAGGCCAGACAGAATGGCCTGGCAGGCCAGATCTGGCCCCCAGCCTGTATTTTGCCTGCCCCTGCTGTACATTGTGCTGCTATGTGCAAGGTACGTGCATTGTTCACTTTAATCTAAGGTTGGGTATTTGACCAATCAAATAAAGTTGGGTCAATTGACTGGTTAAATATTGGTTAAAAATCATAAAAAATTGCCAACGGGTCCAAATAATACACAGAAAAGGCACTAATTTTCCATTAAGAAAACTGTCAAAAAAAATTTTTTAATCATATTCCTGTCAAGAAAACTATAATGTAGTTTTTAAAAATAAAATTGCTATAATCTTTGACCAGTCAAAAAATATGCAGCCAACTGACTAGTCAATTGACGATATTTAACCAGTCAAATCGACCGGTTTACTAACCCTACTGTAATCTTCAAGAATATCATCAGCATTCTACATACAATTTAATTACTATCAAAGGAGAAGCTTACAAACCGCCGATGTGGTTCACCGCAAAGTTCACTAGCGTTTAAAACAAACGCCTGGTCAACTATAATTTCAAAGTAGTGGAAAGAAAGCTCCATGAGCAAATGGCACAACTAACTTCATGGGAATCTGGGGGGGAAAAAGATGTGAGGGAAGAACAGTGTGTTTTATGTTTTCGGACATCAAGGCCTTGTAATTAGAAAAAGGTTGAGAATTTATCATTTTAAGTGTGCTTTTCAAGTAGGAAAGATCATACTGTCTGATTTCCACAAAAATGCAGAGCTATGATATGCTTGTGATTCAGTGCATGGATACAGAACTATTAACATTTAAGATGGAAGGAAGCCGACACAGAGGAAGAAAGGTCTATAACCTTTCAATCCACAGCTGGTATCCCGTAGCATAGAGGATACTGCTGAAAGGTCATCAAATTATTTTTCACAAAATTCACAAAAGCTGAGAGAAACACCAGGTCAGTAACAAGAGAAAGAGACAGATAAGCAATTATCTATGGAGGACAGCCTCTAAAGGAGTATCTCCATTTGTGCACACGCTAGAGACAAGTACAGAAGCAAGGCCAGCTGGAATGTGGACTAGCTCATACCCAAGACAGCTGAACAAAAACAACGGTTCCGTGTAAAAGAAGAAAACCCAGAATTAAGGTATAGAACTCAGAGGGCAAGACACAAGAAAATATGTACTTAAGACTACTTGGGACATTCAGTTAGATACCATTCATGTAAGAGGAAACAACAGCTTTAGGATCCACAAATTCAGTAATATTTCTGCCTAACCTAGGTCCAACAAATCAACCCAACACACTGTCCCAGAGCTATACCAAGACAAGAAAGACACACTAGTATGACGAGAATTTACAATGGTTATGGATGTGTGAAAGCAAAATGCAAGCATAAATACAAACTAACAGCACAGACTGGAAATCTCACAAAAAGACAGCACACAGGTACAAAGAAAGAAAACAGAAAAAGCTCATCCTGAAATAATGGCTTTAAAGTATTCTAAAAGCTCAATGGTTTCATAGTAGCTAGGGTCAGGAGGGACCTGAACAGATCATCTAGCCTGACCCCTGCCGCAGGCAGGAATGAATGCTGGGTTCACAAGACCCCAGACAGGTGATCGTCCAACCTCCTCTTGAATTTGCCCAAGGACAAGGACCACCTCCCTGGGAAGTTGGTTCCAGATTTTGGCCACCCTAACTGTAAAATATTGCCTTCTGATCTCCAACCTAAACCTGTTCTCCATCAGCTTATGACCATTGTTCCT